AAGAAAGAAAGAAAGAAAGAAAGAAAGAAAGAAAGAAAGAAAGAGAAAAAGAAAAAGGAATATACAAGATCAAAACACCCTATGATATAAGTGAACATCCATTATCATGGCTAAAATTAAAAGTACTGACCATAACATGTTATAGTTTTAAATAAAGAAACTAAAACTCTCATGAATCACTCTTGGGAATATAAAATAGCAGAGTCACTCTGACAAGAATTCTTATGAAAGTTAATGTACCTAAATCCATTCCTGTACATTGGCCGAAAGAAATGAAAAGATGTGTACTACAAAATCTGTGTAGTGACAAAGGAATTACACAAAACACACTCACAGCAGTCTTCTATTTAAGAGTCTTGAACTGGATTCAATCCAAATGTCCACAGAGTGGAAAAACAAATTTTAGTGTTCATCCAGTGTATTGTGTATTAGTCAGCTGACCTGTCATTGGACAAAATATCAGATACTTGCAAATTAAAGGAGGAAATAAATTATTTGGGTCATTGTTTCAGAGGATTTACTCCGTGGTTGTATGGATCGAAACCAGGAACACTATGGTGAAAGGTGTAGCACATATGCTTCATTCATGGGGGCCTGGAAGCTGAGCAGTGGAACCATCTAGGCAGGAGGGGCGAGGTAGCCCACACAGCAGTACCCAAGGTCCTGCATCGAAGGCCCACTCAGACATAGCCAGAAGTGTGCTTCCATCCTCTGGTCACCTCCCAAGACAAAATGATGACACAACTAAGCTTAACTGCTAAAGATTGCTACTCAAGAATAAAGAAAAATGAAATTTGGTACATGAATAATCTGAGGGGGTCTCTAAATAATATGCTGAGTTATTGAGGATAGGTAAAATTACGTGCATTCTATATTATTCTCTATATTAAAACTTTTTAAAAAGTAAATTGAAGTAGAATGACAAAACATACTTTTGTTTTGGTTTTTCAGGATGAGGAGGATGCAAAGAACTATTTGAGGAGGAAATTACACGGGCATGGAAGAAGACTTTCATGGATGATTGATAACTTATTTTCTTGAATGTGGTGATCACTTCTGATGGGTTCTACTATAATTCATCAGAGGATGTATCATGAATACGTGCAGCCAGCTATGCAAAAAATGTTAAAAATTTACCTAAGATAAGCAATTTAACAGAGTATATAATTAATATATGTAATTGTTATTGTTAGTTATAATATATTAAATAGCTTTTGTAACCTAGGGGCATGCAAATAAAGAAAATACTAGTACTAAAAATCTCCATTTTTAGATAAAGATAAAAAAGCTATGTGATTTGCCTAAAATCATGCAACTTTAAAAGGAAAAGTTGCTTTCTTTTCCAACAAAGAGCACTGTTGAACTTCATTTTTTAATCACTTCTCAAATGATCATTGTTTATACCTGCCATCTCATTCCTAACATTAGAGTTTGTTTTACTTTTAAGGATTTTCGTTCTTTTTTTTTCCTCAATTTTCCTCTAGCCGTTTTCATTTTTACCTAAAACCTTAGGTGTTCTCTCTTTTTATTAGTACTTTTGTTAAATATATTGCTAAAGTTGGTATCAATATTAGTTATTCTGTTTGATGGCTTACTGTTTCATTTTAAAAGCAATTTTGATGACACTATCTTAACATTATCTTAGAAAGGATACTGTGAGAAAGATTTAGTGAAGAGAAACACCTGTTTATTGAAGGTTATTAGAATAAGGCCAAACCACATACCCTTTATTTTTTTAAATTTGAAATAGGACAAATGTGAACCTATATCGATTAAAGATTTGTGCTCCATGCTAGTCAGAGCCTATATTATAAGGCTATTTTTGGCTTCATGAGCAAAATTCCAAGTAAAGGAAAATGGGATTAAAAAAAACCTACATTCATATTTTAATACATAGAAATACATAGAAAAATCCACAGGTTTTTTTTTTCTGAATTTCTGTAAGTTCAAAGAGTTGATGAGTTCTTTTAAAGTTTTAACATATAATTCATTTGTATGAAATAATTCAAATGTAATCTTTACACTTTAAGAAGGAAAAAGGTGCTAGAAATCATCAAACATGTTTTAGGACTATCTGTAATGCTAACTTATTAAACATACAATAACTTTATTCTTACATTTTAATGATATGAGCCTTTTCCTTTCTTCCCTTTGTTTTTCGTTTCTTTACTGCATTTATATAAAATATACATTTCTAAAAGGGAGTTTAATGTATATTTTCAAGACGCTTATTGGTATTGTATCTAGGGAGAAAACCATTGAATTAGCATTGATTCAAACAGGAAATAAAACTTATTTTTTCAATAAAATATTACA